AGTAGTAGTAGTAGTAGTAGTAGTAGTAGTAGTAGTAGTAGTAGTAGGAGTAGGAGTAGGAGTAGGAGTAGGAGTAGGAGTAGCAGTAGCAGTAGCAGTAGCAGTAGCAGTAGTAGTAGTAGTGGTAGTATAGTTGTTGTTCAAGATGGGTGCGTGGACAGGTTTACACAGATTGTTCAAGGATATACACATGTCAAGGACGAGGCACAGACGGCAGACAACAACCATATGCCATATGCTTTATAACAAATGCGTCATTCATTTCTTTGCACGTGCCTTCTTGGTTAATTAATTGTTTTTGTTCACGCTATACATGTGTTTGCTTTGTCCCTTTGACTGCAAGTCTTTTAAATAACTATCCAACACAGAGTATTAAGACCTGTCAACCGTTACTCGGCGCATCTGGCTACAGGCTCGTTCTGAATACCGAGTTCAGCTGCTGAAACATGTAGAACGGCTTCCCTGGGGGAAACGGATGAAAAGCTCTTGACCTGTGTGGGATTCATTCGCGAACAAATCTCGTTGAGCTTCCTGCTTCTGTTTTTCATGGTCCTTTTTTTTCATTAGTTCTTCCTCTTCCTAATGGGTGTTCTCTGGGCCTAGCGGATGTTTTTGTTATTGTGTTCGCGTAGGTTTCTTATTCGTTCCTGTTCTCAATTTCCTGTCCTCATGCCTTAGTAGTTTCTGGGTCTCTTGTTCAGCTGGCTCAATTCTTGATGTCCAAAGCTTCTTACTGAACAACTCAAGATGGAGGGATTGCCAAGACAAGAACATGAGTGAGTACCGAGAGCTAAAGAAGAATGCAATCCTCAAGAGCAAGAATAGCTATAGACTTAGACGCCAGCCAAGGACGGAAGGGTCGTTTACGTAGACAAGTTCATTTGTAACTCATCAAACTAAGACGGGCAGAAAAAGGTAGTAAGAGGGCAAAACAATTTCAGAAGAGGACAAGTTGGAATGGAACATTTCAAGGAAGGAACAAGCCATCTAGGAAGGAGAAAGAATAGCAAGGAATTGGCGGACCATCAAAGCCTAGTTGGAAGGCATAAATATAATTTGTCTTACCTTACTAGCTGGATTCTGGCAATGATTTGTATGGGTTCCGCCGTTTTGCTTTGTGCTTATTTGAACACAATTGGAAGGAAACATCATGGACAAAGCCCCCAAGGAATGAGGGTATGGCACCTACTTACACCCTCCTCGCTGTGCTTGTTTGCCTTTCCAATATCTAGATCGTGCAATGACAACACTACTTGATCAAGACATTTGTTTGCAAGGACATACTGCATATGCACATGTCTTCAAAGCTATAATGGGGCATGCGCAAAAGCATAGGGAACAATGCAACAAGGTTTGTGAAGTGTGGTTGCTCGTTTGCTGGTAGGAACTTACACGACAACGGTAGCGTTTAAGTTCATTCTGAAATAGGAAGAGTACAGCATTGGAAAAGGTAATCAAAAGGCAGGTGTCCTGGGGTGGCGGTAGCAATGTATATATATATATACACTGTAGTCCAGAAATCTTACCCGGAACATTCGTGCCAAAGGTTTCTTGTAAACCACTGCAGCCCGGGTTATGAGCTACCACTACAAAGTAAAACAGTAAATCAAACCAAGGTTCCGGACCCAAGTGCTTCTAAAGGCGACCCAGCTCAAAGGTTCCATTGTGTTGCTGCGAACAACAACACCCCGGCGCCCGGTGTTTTTACCCAGTACGCGTTCTCTCCCCTGGAACCCCTTCGTTCTCGTCGCCGAGAACGAGGCAATCAGTGCAAGAACGAGGTCGTGACCAAAACCAAAGAGATCAACGGCCCCTCGGTGACGAAGCGGGAGGCGCCGCCCGTTGGACCCGTGACCCGTCCGTTCGTCTCCACGTGAGACGAAGCGGGTTTTCGTCCGGGTCACCGGGAGAAGAACACCAATGAACTAATTAGGATGAATGGATGCTGGAAGCGGATGCTGGAAGCGTAGAAGGAATGTGACACACATCCTTGGCTTCTGACAGGTTTGAGATGGTTTGAGAAGTTGATTTGTGATGCACCAACTTGAAACCCAGGCTGGAAAGATGTATTAGTCAAGGTTCCCAGAAAGCTACAGAATGTTACCAGACGATGCCTTCTCCTTCCTTCCAGGCGAGAGATCGGCCCTTGCAAGGTTCTTCTTTGTGATACCCATAAAGCTCCAAAAGGACTTACACCACCAAGGGTGGTTCATAGACCCCTGACTGTGCACTTTCCATCTAAATATATACCCAGCCTTTTGGTGGTGCTGCTCGTAGATAAAACCCGTAGATCAGATCGAATCCCACCGAAAGGAACAGAAACACCTCAATGATCAAGCTACACACCCTCTGACTATCTCTGACCAGGCCAGGGCCCGGCGCCAGGCCCACAAGGTCAGGTCGTAAAGTGGCCGAGTTGGTCTGTGTTCTTTTCAGATTTTAATAGGCTACCGCGGCTACCGGCTAGACCGACGGCTGCTGGAAAGTCAAAAGAACGTGTTTCAGATTTGGGGGCACTAGCAGGTGGTGGGCATCACTGCAAAGCCTGTCCCGCCAGCACTGAAACTGAGGAGATGGCTTTGAGGAGAAGGAGTTCTGGGCCACCTGTGCAGACGATGGGATGCTTCGATGGGGCAAAGGCAACCAGATAGGCGAGGAACTCATGCAGGACGCGGATGACGACAGGGTCCGAGACGACACGGAGACTTGTTGGTTGGAGTCCTTCGTCCTTTTTTCCAAGATTTGGAGAGGACGCTCCGAACGGAGCAAAGGGCATCGCTCGTAGGAGCGTTCGGACGCTACGAACGAGGCTCCTGGCCTTACGACTAGGAACGTTCGGACGCTACGAACGGAGCTTCTTCGGAAAAGGCCGAAGGACCCTTCGGCACTTTGGACCATGCAGAACCAGGCGTCGTAGACCATGAGATATTATGAGGGAGGCTGATGGACAAATATCTGGAGATGGCAGTTTGGGCAGTTTGCTTGGACCCACGATAGAGGAATGTTGGCAGAAGGTTGCATTTACGCTGTGGATGGAGGGGAACAGTTAGGCTGAATCAAAGAGATAAAGAGAGAGAGAGAGAGAGAGAGACTTTTTGTGGATATGACATGAGATCATGGTCTTCCTTGAAGTTCTGCACTGGCACATGGTGACTTTTCACGCGACTCTGAAGCTCCATCGCCAAATTGAAACCCAAACCACGAAAAACAAACTCGCACCATCTCAAGTCGTTGGATTTTGAACCCGGGGCTAACATGCTGTAGTCCGAAGGTCCATGAGCCTTCCTTTGGTTAGTTCACTAGATATTGGAGATATCGAGGTTCGATTGAGGTTGCCGAGTTTTGCATAATGACAGATATTGGCATGGATATAATTTCAAACACCCTGGGTTGGGAATAGAACGCTTCATTTGTTTACCGGAACAAGTTTAACATTGGCATCATACGTAGCAACTATCAATATGCTATGTCACTATGTATTATGTCTAGTACATTCTAGTACTATCCCAATTTCGCTTTGACTATCCTGTGAGACCCAAGAAACCAAAAGCGTTTCGCATTTCTCGTGGAGGAGTTCAAGGGCAAGCACAGCTGCGATTACTTCGATGTCATGACTGGCTGGGGCTCGAGCGGAACCTGGGAGTTCTGCATGTTGGCATAGCAGATCGCTGCGGTTCGCGGCTTTTGTTCGAGTACTGAAGGGCTCGGCTGGTAGCATCGTAGCTAAGCTCTTGCCGATTTGAGTTCGGAGAAACACGGTTGCAAGAAGGTCCTTTGGGATTTGTTCATTTTGTTTAGTTCTTCAGCCTGCAATGGGGTCAACAAGAACATGAAATGGCATAACTAACTAACCATTTCATGACGTTTCCCGACCTTTTATGCCGGAAGAATCCTTCTGTTCTTCAGTCTATCCTTCCACCATCCGCATATCCCGTTGGGCGCATCACCAACTTCGGGTTGGTCCACCAGGACTGGGCCAAACACTCTGACTGCTTGAGGCGAAGCACATGTGAAGGTTCAATTGGGAACTGGAAGGTTCATTCATGGGCCTGTTGAAATACGCTGGTTTGACAAGCAGCTTCCTTCTTGGACTGCATGGCAAACCAGCATATTTCAACGGGCAGAGAGACACACCTGCATGGCAAGCAGAGGTGAAGACATTGACAACACTTGAAATCCAGAACATATGAAGCGGTGAGAAGGCATCATGTGTGTCAACACACCGCTTGCAGCTGGCTCTTTCAGGACCTTCAGTGACCGTCCTTGAGACCTCAGAATGACGTCACTTAGTTTCTTAAAGGGATCACGTCTTGAGACTTCAAAGAGGTCGGTTTGAAGGTCCTGGTTAATCTATCTTCATCCTTTTAGTCTTTGATCCACAATTCATAGCAATCAAAAAGTGGGCGGGGGCAGTCACGCTTCGACAAGTGCAGCTAGGTTCTTCAGCCCTGCGCTGTAATGTGCCTCACATGTTTCAGTGACTAATTGGAGGCAATTCATACGATTTCACGTGTATATCATGATATGTTTAAACCATACATGATTGACTTGTCGCAACAGCAACATAACCTACTCATGGCATGATGATACGTCCCATGAGACTTGTGTGGCTTGGCATGGATTCGGCCTGGAGAGCACCGTGAGCCTACGGCTCTGGCTGCCTGGGGACTAAGTGGATGTTTGGATCGATTTGGGGCGTTTTGTGCAGGTGGACCCACTGGAGGATCTCCAGTAGACGCAGGAAAGGGTTATGGAAAATGATGTTCCATGCGATTCCAGTTTTGGAGCTGGCCAATCATTACTATATTATATATATCGAAACCAGGCATCAAAATAGCTGTGGCTTGAGACTGAGAGATAGGATGCCAACTATTGTTGGTGTGTGATCATGATGGTGAACAGGATATTGCAAAGGTAGTACAAAGAAATGCTAATTTTCATGACTGGAAAGACGATATCTCTTTTAAAACTTCTTCACCGAAAATAATGCGTTTGTAACTTGTTGATTGACGTTTGTACCAGATGCTCTGTTGTCCTGAGAGTTTTTGAAAGCATGTGAATCAGAAAGCATGCCAGTGCTCATCTTCATGGCATGCACCCTGAGGCCGCGAAGATGTAGGGACGAGGTATATGGACGGTTTGCCAAGAGGAGGCCACTGTATCGATGGCCTGACCGCCCAGTTGTCTTGAATAGAGAGGATACCCCCAAGTCTTGAACAACTAATAGAGTCAATAGAGGTACCTGGATGGTATTTACCTTTAAAGCGACGATGACGACTCCAGGCGGCGGAGTGAACAGTCGGTGTCAGGAGATGGCCGAGGGCAGATCTCAATATCTAAGTAGTGCGCTACAACCCGTAGTGCGGAACTTTGCAAATCTGCCTTGCCACGGGCTGCCCCGCGCGTGAATAACAAGGCGGGACGTCTACTTGGTCGGGTTTTACAATAGAGGTGACAGTGGAACGTCTACTTCAGAATGGTTCTATTCTATTTTTCCAAGGGTTGTGTCGCATTTTTTTGTTGCGTACTGACAATATTTGATCGTCCAAACAACGGGCAGAAGTTCTGGCGACTGAAATAACTCACCCTCTCGGGATAGTTATAATAGCTAAAGAGAGGCTCCACTCACTGACAGCGCTCTGCTATATAGACGGAATTCCCAACTTTAGGAGGGTGGTTCAGGGGGTTATATGGACTTGTCGTGTTGTTTAACTTAAAATTGAAGAAGTTGCGGACATGTATATATATATATATAGTTGCTCAGACACAAGCCAGTTGTTGGATTCACTTGGAGCATGAATTCTAGGGTTTTCTTCGGGTTTCTCTCCATGTGTCATTTTTGGGCCTGTCATCTATTGTGTTTCATGTTTTCAATAGCTTAGCCACCTTACCAGACTGGTGCTACATCATATTACATCTCCACTTTTTCGTGGGTTGGGTTCATCAACCGTCTACATGACCTTTTCTCCGCTTTTCCACCTTGAGGTGATGACCAGCTTCCCGAGGACGCGCACTGTCAGCGCGGCGGGCGACTGGTGTTCCGCCAGTTCAGGGATCCAATGGAAGAATCGTTTAGGTTAAGGCCATCGCCATCGCTATTAGGCTGGAGGCAACCCCTACTAGGGTGGAGGCCACCGCTACTAGGGTGCAGGCCACCGCTAATAGAAACAAAGAAAAAAGAGAAGGAAAACACATTGTGTGATGCGTTAGCCTCTGACTCTGGGATTTTTTTTTGAGGATTCCAATATGATTCAATGATTCAACAAAACGGAATATTGGATTAGCATATATAGTCCCTTTGTCAATGTTAACGTCAACAAATATGCATGATGTTATCACTGACTTTCAAAAAATTCCTTGTCCATATGGAGACGATCGTTGACTCGATGTTTGCGTCAATTTGTGAGCAACAATTCACCTTAGCAGCCTGTGGCTGTGTATCAAATTAGGGAGACCTCCCAGTTCGACCCCCTGGGTTGGGTTCGGGAAATAGACCAGTCAGGGTCTCCCGGATGTAACATACGCACCCAGACGTCACACCCATGTATTATGGGATCCCAAATCATTTGTCATAGACACGCAACGGGGCTGTGAACTGCCGAATCTGCCGACTCTTCCAGGAGTCAGGTGCGGAGCCAAGCCAAACGAAACGGCTCAAGTCCCTAGATCCCTAGATCCGTGGTTGATGCAATGTTCAATGTTTAGTGGCTTAAGGTGTTTTTTTTCCTGTGCGCGCGGCACGCCTTCCCCGCGGCGCCGTGTGTTGGGTTTCAACCCCCACAAGCCGTTCGCTGCACGTTCGCTTCACAACCCTGTCGATAGAGTAACTAGAGCGAACTGGATGATAACCGTGCTTCGACGTCCACACGCTCCAGGAGCCCCAAATGGAATGGGGTTCTCAGGCATTCATTGGATGGATGTGGTATTCATGTAATGTATGTTATGTTGATTCATAAAGACTCCAGCAGACACATCAAACTTCCACATGGGCGTGTTTTTTGAATAGGGAGACCCCCAAAGACCCCCTAAAAAGAGGACATAGACCAGTCAACCGGGGGTCTCTCTGTTAAAACACACGCCCACATGAATGAATCCGGCTTTGCCACCGAGCCAAGTCATCACACCCCGAGACAGCCGGGGTGAACGTACTCTGCCAAGGAGTCCGCAGTGAAGGCTTCGTCGGAGCATGAGTTCTGGATCATGCTGCAGGAAGCCAACTACAGGCGGGAGAAACCCATCCAAATCCATCGTTGTTAGGGAAAAGCCAAAGAGGAAACCCTGGAGATTCTTGGATGTGCCCAAGAAACAAAGCGGCTCTTTTGGAAGAAGATGTACTTTTCGATCGATCTTTGAAATATGGGAAATTGCTTCACGTTTGAGAAGGAACTCCTCTGCCGGCCTGGGGCGACCCTGGACGAATGGATTGGGAATGGAATGGACCGTTGTTGCGGAAGAAAACGCCACAAAGGAAATTTAATTTACCCTAAGACTCTTGGGGATGTGCTATGGAGGGTTCAGGATCTACATAGCAGACACTCGGACTCAGAACCTGCTGAGGAGGGTCCAGGTGAGGGGCCGGGACCTCACCAAAAACTCGCGACGTTCCCAGGGTCCGGCCAGGGTTCAGCGAGTGTCCACTGAAGGCTCAGGGGGGCTCAAGTGCTGTGTCCAAGATGTTCAAATCCAACTTGATCCAACATGTCACTACTCATGACGCTTGAAGGTTGGAAAAGATTGGAAACCAACAGCCACAGTTCATCTTTCAATCACAGGTTGCATTAGGCATGTGATCTCAGGGTTTCTGAGAGTCCTAAGTTGCCCCACATGTCTCACCGGTGTCACTGCTGCCGTCGAAAGCTGATGCTGCCAAGCGGTACCTGATACTAATTTGATTCTAATTGTTACTACTAGGAAGGCACCTGTTACTACTAGCGTGGCACTTGTTACTGATAGCTTCTAGTTACTACTACAAAGGAACGGTTCAAAGGCGCAGGTTTCGGTGGGATCTTTGGGCAGCTGAGAACACTCTTTTTTTCATGGGATCCGAGGACCTCCAGGAGAAGGGTAGACAAATGATAGAAGTATACATCGGTCTTCAAACGTGCAGGATTGGTCAATTAAGCATCTGTCAGTTTCTGACGTAGCCTAGACAGAAGCTGTCGGACAAAGTGAGAGAACCTAAAAGCAAGCTGCAAATTTGGGACAAAGCACAGTTTCACCTGAGAATCTGAGGTTGCTCATCAACATTATTGAAGATTGCGGACCCTATCTGAAGATCAACCTGGCATGCCCTTTTGGAGGGCACAAAACACCCCCCCCCAAAAAAGTGTTTCACCTTCCGTGCAGGCTGCGAATTCGCCACTCAGCCTGCATTGGCCGGTTCAAAGATATCTCGCTCGTTGGTGGAAGACTCAGGGGGACCGCAAGGCGAATCGCTTAAAAGAAAGGGCCACTGGCGAGCAATAGTTATGCCGAGGAGGGACCAACCTACCACCAGGATATATAGTATAGTTGATACAACTGTTGTTATGCGTCATGTAAACTATACTCTGTTTTTTTGTTTAATCTGATGTTTGTTATTTTGTTTGTGAATCAACAACGAACATTTATCAACAATGAATGAACGGTCAAAACAGAACACACATCAAACATGAGCAATACAACAAGTTTTTTGTTTTTCAATGTTAATTTATGTACATGCACATTGTGTGCAGTTAATTTGTTTGGTATGTAACGTAAATATGGTTAAATCGATAAAA